AGCAAAAGGCTTCATTTGCCACATGCCAGTTTGCCAAATAAACTAGTTACATTATGTGTGGACATTGGCACGACCACCATTTAACTTAAAAGATTAGCAGGTGAAGGTGTTAAATCCCCAAATGCATTCAGATGGGGTTTTTTCTTTCTGTTTGGACTCAAGCTAGGGCAGGGTAAATGAGAGAATTTGTCTTGCCGTCACTTCGATCTATATTTCACCAAAGTTTGTTTTCACTCTCTCTCTTTATCACAATTAAAATCCCAAGGAGGAGGCCTGTTATAAATCAAAGTTCTGTTCATGTGTCCCACATAACTGTGTCTGTTGCTGCCTTTGCACCAGTAAGAAAATAAACACAACCCCCTTTGGCTACATGAGTAGAAATAAGCAATTTAGGATCTTAAAAGATAAAAGATAATAAAAGTAATTAAGATAATTAACCATCCTGAAGAAAGAAGAATTTAGGGCTGTAAATTTGGTCCTTGAGCTGAGACGCCATTCTGCAGCTGCCACTCAAGGCAGAGACGATGCCTTGAGCCAAAGGGGGAACAAAAGGCCTGACATTCCCCATCAGACCCAGCCGTGCCTCCCAGCGGAGGCTTCCTTGGACCGCAGAGCAGAGGGCTCCTCGCTGGCGGCTTGGTTGGCCACCTCTGGCACCTGGTGTAGCCTCGGAATGAATCAGCCCATTTCAGACAGCTGCCTCTTGTGGCTGCCAGAGAAACCTGACCACACCCCAAGTTGGTGCTGTGTGTGCCGGGGAGGGGGATCTGTGTGCCCAGCAAAACATCTGGCTGGCTGGGACATCTGTCACTTCTTCACCCACCCATGTTTCAGAGGACTTCCAGGGAGTTGCAGGGATCCAAATAACACTCAGGGGGAAATATTACATGAAACTGAGACAAAATGTCAGCAGGGTCTCGAAAAGGCAGAGCAAGGAAGGCTGCAAAAAGTTTTCTTAGCTTTCTCTTTGTAGAAAGTGAGATGTAGAAATAAATCTCCCAAATGCCAACACTGGTTGTTTTGAAGCAGCTGTGCCTGAGGAGGTTGCCCACCGCCTCCTTATAGCCCACTGGGCAAGCCCAGTGGCTGGGAACAAAGAAGGGGCTGAGAGCCAAGCCCCGCTCCGTGGCTCCAGCAACCAGCTATTCAACATGGGCGGAAGCTGACAAGGGCAGCCCAGAATTCCCCACACCTCTGCCTTCTTGGGTTTCTGCTCCAGAGAGACCAAAGAGGCCACCGAAGCCCAGGGTTGAGGGTTGGGGGAAGGCTGAAGCCCCATGCATTTTGCTCCGTGGGGGTGAGTGAGTGGGCAGGGCTTGCAAATGAAATCCAGAAGGCTCCCAGCCAAGGGCCTTTGTCTATTCAGGCACAAAGGCTCGCCTTCCCGGGCCCTCCCCCAGCTGCCTTTTCAGATGCAGGAGGGCCCCTCGGAACAGCAGAAAGAGGTGCTGAACTCCTGCCAAGGGGGGAGGGAGAGAGGGAGGGGGGCAAGGTTGCTCTCTATCCCAGAGAAGCCAGCCCTGCCTGTGCATGGGAACACCACCAAAGACTCATGGCGGGGAAGGAGCAGCTCTGGCTGCCAGTCAGAGGCTCGGAGTGCCATGACCTGCCAATCAATGTGGACAGGAATGTGGGGGTCCGGGAAGCCATTGCCACGAGGGCCCCAGCAGAGCACAGGGACTCCAAGGCGGCCATGGTAGTCCTTCAATCTGAGCAGCGCTTTTCTGCAGGGCCTCAGCCGACTAGGGATCTGATCTCTGGAGGAATAGAGAAATTGCGGATGGGGGAGCGATCCTTCTGCTGAGCCTTCAGCCCAGAAAAAGGCCTGCCCAGAGACTCAGCCACTCTGCAAGCTGTGCTCTTTCCCCGTCCCGGCTTTGCACTTCTCCTGGCTGCTCTGGAAAAAGGGGTGGGTGGGTGTAATGGGTATGGATGCCGCCCCTGCAGGCAGGGAGCTCTGCAGAGCCTCTCCTTTGGACTGACCTCCAAGGGTGGCATAGAGACGGGTGTTCAGGATAGGGGGAGAAAGGGGGACTTGGGCCAATGCTTCAGGCTGACACAAACTGAGTGGTTCTGCAAAAGGAAAAGCGCCCCTCCTTTTTGTCTGAAGAGTTCCTTGGAAAGCTTCCTGTGAAGAGAAAACCTCCATTCCTCTCTCCCCCCTCCCCCCCCCCCCCCGTGAGCACATTTTTGCTCAAAGCTGTCATTTCATCTGGCTGCTTATCCCAGGAGGGATTTCCTTTTGCTGCCTGGCCTCCCTGTGCAATCCCACAGTACGCCACATCCCATTCAATGGCCTCCAACACCGAGAACCCTGGGAGAAGCCCAAGAAGCAGCCCAGGGCTCCCAGGACTGCCAGGCTCCATCGATCCTCAGCTTGGGAAGGGAGAAGCACCAACAGCACACAGAGGCAGAGCTGGGGCCGCCAGCTGTTGAATGGGTGTTGCAAAGCGCAAGGCTGGGCGTGCACACACAAAGGCCTGGGAGAGGCCTCCTCCCGCTCTCTCTCTCTCACGGCACCCTTGGCTGGGCCTCCCATTGGGCGTGCTCAGGAAACATCCTCAACAAAGGCAGCCCCCCAGGGAAAGGTTCCCCAGCGTCTTGCACCCTGAGAAAAGCAGGGACGAAACCAAGAAAAGGTTGGGGCAGAAGAAGCTTGGAGGATGGTACTACACCCCCCCCCCTCAGCCCTTGGCACAGGCGCAATTGAAAGAGGCCACATCCCTCCTTGCTGCTGACAGCCACCCCGAATGACGGAGTCAGACGTCCATCCTGGACCAGAGCCTTGGCCCATGGCACCTTGGGCACTGACCCGGGCCCTCAGGACATCTCTCTCTGCTTGAAGCAGACGGCAGAGGGGGGGCTGAGGGAATCCAACCTCGCACCATTTCCTTGAGGTGTTGGTATCATCATTTAGTGAAAAGTGATTTGCACTCCTTAATTTTTACTGCAGAATAGTAGCAATGCACTATATTAAAACTTAACTAGAAAGCCTGGGGAACAGCGCTGAAAGAGGGCTGGACCTCCACCAGAGAGTGGAGTCTGAAGGGCAGCATGGGGAAAAGCTGAAGGAGCTCAGGGCCTGGACTGACCCTCGGGGGTAAAAGCAACCTGAGGGAGAGAGTCACTCCCAGTGCTGTCTGCGCACATTCAATTCACCTGCTGAGATATTGGGATAACAGGCACGTCAGCAAAGTGTTTCTATGGTCTTTTTCTTCCTGGGATTTGGCTGATCTTGGATCATGAGAAGGGCTTATTGCTATTATTGTTCCAGTGATTAATGTGGCCCATGCATGGAAATAGACACAATTGCCCTGCTGGAAGAGGGTCTGTGTGTGCCATGCTCTCCCTTCCCACCAAGTCTCTTCCTTGGCCTGTGGGGTTTTGCATTCACAGCACCTATTTCAGACAAGTTGTTGGTGCTTTTTTTCCTGGGCTTCCTAAGATTGTTGGAAGGGTAAATAACCAGCCTGCTGACATTGCTTCTATTTAAATAAATGACACACTGCGCACGTACATCGTTTGCATAAAACAATATTCAAGTAGGGTGATTTTAATGTTCTCTGCTATTTCTGACTCTCGCTGGATTGCTGTTTGCATATATTTGCATACCCTCAGAGAATTAAGCTCAGAGTATGCAAATGCACTTACAGGCTTTCTGGCTCTTCTCCCCCCACCCCACAAAAGCGGTTTATCCCCTCAATCTTCCCTCCCCCTTCAGCTTCAGGTTTTGGCACCCAGATCAGCAGAGGGGGGGGGATGGACAGGGAGGGAGAGTGCCGGACCAGCAATTGTGCTCTTGGAGAGGCCCAGGGCCAGGCAGCTTCCGCCTCCTCCGAGAACACAGCTAGAAACCAGTGCCCACCCTCACCCACATCGGGGCTGCCTCTTCACACATAGCTTCTCTTCCTAGAACTGGGTGCCAGCCGCTAATGCACTCACAAAGCAGCACCCTAGACACTACCCAAGCCAAGTGATGCAGCAAGGAGCAAATCCTGGGGTCTGGCCCTGAACCCAGCCCTGAGAACGCAGGGGCCACTGGTGCCCATCTGGAGAGTGGCCAGGTCTGCCTACCCACTTGGCTTCCATCTTTGAAAAGAAGCCTTCAGTCACCCTCCGAGCTGTGCAGGCAGGGCTACAATCGCACCCTGATTGCCCTTCAAACTCAATGTTACAACAACAAACTGGGCCTGGTTCTCAAGATGTCATTCTTAACCTCAGAACAGGGGAAAGCTGCTTCCCTTGGTTCCCACAGCTGAGATGATTTCATCAAGCTTAAAGACTGCACTGCACATGCTCACAGTTTGGTCCTCCCCCCACCCCCATTTTTTCTTTTAAACCAGGGCCAGCATAATTACCCTTAATTTATCAGAAAGTGTAGTATTGCACCGCCCTACTGAACAATTCCTCAATCCACAGCCATGGGTGGGTGGCAGAACTGCACAGTAACTGAGATCAAAGCTATCTAACTGCTCTGCCAGGCTGCTTCTGTGCCACATTGTGGTGGTCCCGTAACAGGTTATTATACACCTGGGAGTTGTAGTTCTGTAAGGCACCTAAGGCAGCCTCTCCAACCTGCTTCTAAGCCTGTAGGGAGAAATGGCAGCAGGGAACTGGGGAGAGGACAAACTTGCTCAGGGGCCCTGGGGGGAGGTGTGTGGGCACTGGCATCCTGTTTGCCCACCTGGGGTTGAAGGGCCCCTTGGCCCCTGAGGTCAAGGCAAGACTCAGATCAGCAGCTGTGGTCCTTCAGAGGTGCCCCTGCCCACACCTGGCTGGCAGCAGAGGCTCCTGCAGCCATCGTGATGATCGGCAACTTGAGGCCTGATTATTTCCTCTTTCGGCTTTCCCAGCATGAGATGTGCCAACAGAGTGATTTAGTGGTAGATTTATGGCGGGAGCGTCTGATTTGTCCTACATGATGGAGCATGTCATGCAGTTGCTTTGCCGGCTGGGCTGAGGGACTCCCTCCACTCTGCACAAGACAAGAAGGGGGGCTGGGGGCGCAGCCTGTGAAAATGCAGCCATTTGCACTGGAGGGAAAGCTGGGCTAGGGGTTGGCAGCTTCTCCTGCAGAAGATGGGCCTGCAGAGTGCTGGAAAGAGAGCTGACTCCATCTGCTGAGCCACATCGGGGAATCTGTGGGGGGCGCTGTGCAAGGCTAGAGGGGAGGGTGGGGCCAGGGCTGGGCAAGGCAAGGCCATTACAAGAGCAGAGCCTGGAAATGCCACCTTGCTTGGCGGAGGTTCTTCTGAATTGATGCCTCCGTCTTCTACCCCTCCCTGTGGCTTTCCTTGCAGGCCTCGGGGCATTCCTTTAGCCCATCCACCGAAGTCCTCCTCCTTCCTCACTCCATTTCCAGGGCAGCGCAGGGCCTTCGGACGGCTGCTCTGCCCACATTTTGCACCAGTGGAAGAGGCCTTCTCTTCAGTTCCTCTGGGCTGGCATCTCCAGCCTCCCTTGGGGCTCCTTATCACGTTAAGATGCTTCCTCTGCGAGGCCCCATAACTTGAGGTGCTGGAAACCCAGCGTGGAATCTTCTGCCAAGGGTTGCTGCAGGCCTCTGCCTCATCTGTTCCCAGAAAGCCTAGTTTCCTTTATTCCTCCCCATCCCTGGATATTTTTCCTAGCAGTGACTGAGAGGAGAGCTCCATCTTCTTCAGAAGGCAGCTGTTGCTCAGGTCTGGGCTCTCTGGAATTCCCATGTGCCCACCCAGCTCTATTTATAGATGGTGCCTGTTTCTCAAATCTTCCCCCTTCATCACAAGAGCAGCGCTTGCTCAGTGGAACATATTTGGTGCCTTCTCCCAACGTGGCAGGGAGGGACGATCAGGCCCTCCTGCTTGACTCATCCCTCCAGGTGGGCTGCATCCTTCCAATCTCTGAAAAGCAAGATTGCCACAAACAAGACTCAGCCTTCCTGCTCCTGGGATGAGGTCAAGGTGTCGCAAAAGCCCTGTACCCCCCACCTTCCCGTCTCCATGGGAAGGATAGGTCTCAACTGTCAGTAGCTATCCTTCCATTTACCCTCCCCGCCACCATCACAACTGATGAAGCTTCTTGGATGACAAGTGAAACATTTTGTTCTTCTTCCTGAAGGAAGCAAATATCCCAATTGCCTTTTGAAAAAGCACCTGGGGGCCATTCAGCCAGAGGCTCTCCAGACTTCTGGGTTCAGGTTTTCCTTCCTAGAGAGTGCTGTGGATATGGGGAAGCAGTGCTTTCCTGACCCAGATCCAAGAGGGCAGCCCCTCCCCTTTTCTTGACCCTTCCCATCCAAAGACTTGGCCAGGGCAGCTTGAAGGACAACCAGGGCAGAAGCAGCTCAGACTCGCAAACTCCTGTAGCTCAACTGGCTGGGCCAGGTTGGATCTGCATGGACTCCTGGATGTGTCAGACTGATGCTCGTGTGTGTGTGTCCCCATGTGTGTGTCCTGCCCGTGCTTTAAACCTGCACTAGACCTGCAAGCGAATCACATCACAGCTTAATGAGCTCTAAGGAGAGGCACCAGGGCCGGATTTTCCTATAGGCTAACTAGGCTTCAGCCTAGGGCCTCAAGATCAAGAGGGGCCTACATTCAAATTGTTAGCAAAATTAAAATTACACTTTCACTATAGGTGAAAGGGCCTCATAAGTGGAATAGCCTAGGGCCTCTTTTCATCTAAATCCGGCCCTGAGAGGCACCTATCAAGTGGCAATTTCCCCCTGTGCAAAAACACCCCTGGCAGAACATCTGGACTTTGGATGCTGTTTCTGGGCATGCCCGTTGGCAGGGAGGGGTGCTCGTCACACGGCCACTCTCCCCCCCCCAGAGGCCAGCAAGGGCCTTCCTCCAATCCCTGCTTCCTGCTAAGGCCCAAGTGGACCAGAAACACAGGATCCCTCCCTCACCCCTGCCTGGGCAAGTGGAGGAGCTGGAAGGAGAGCAAGCGCCCAGCAGCTCCGTTTCCATCCTGCGGTCCAAAATTACAAGGCATCATATTTTGAAAGTGATGCTGACATTCCTCAGCCGGGAGGCAAAGCCAAAAACAACGCAAGCACAGCTTGTCTTGGCCCGGGTTCAAATCCAGGGCCTCAGCCAGTGAAACCAAAAACATTGACACAGCTGGATGCAAATCTGCCTGTTTCTCTCAGCTCCTCTTCTCACTCAGGCCACGGCTGGCCAGTCAAAGGCTCCAGTGTTCTCAGCCTCTCCCGGCCAGCCGATCTAGAGATGGACATGCACTAGGGAAATTGGGTGGTCTTTCTAGGGAAACCCCAACCCAAACAACCTTGGAAGGGGCTCCGGGAAGATAGAAATTAACCTGATCTAGAGGCTCATCCATCCACAGTCAATTTGCATGGGGAGAAATGTGGAAGCCTCATCAATTGGCGATATGGAAGTAATGGCTAATAAACGCTTTAACAAACCACAAAGGAAAACAGATGCAAAGGCCGGAAGAGCCAACCGACCAGCCAGCCAACCAGCGCTGCTCGCCTGCCAGAATTTTGCTAGGAGCTTCAGCTGCCCTGGGCCCCATGACGTCAGGCTGGTGGGACTTCTTAGGACAGGAGAGCTTGCTCCAGCCGGCTGCTTTTTGCATTCACATTTGCCCTTTCATCTGCAAGACAGAGGGGAAGGGGGAGCAGTGGGAGGGCAACCGGACCATCCCAGGGACAGCCTCAGAAGTCTTCATTTCAGGGCTGCAATGGAAGGGCTTCTCTGGGACTCACCAGGAGTGGGTTTGGCCTTTGGTTGGGGTCAGCTTTCTTTAAGGCGAGGAGGAGGAGGAGAGGTTGTTTCTGTGCAGCACCTGGATGGAGGGAAGTGAAAAAAACTGATAGGTGCACCTGGATGGAGGCCTTGAGGAGGGGGAATAGGCACAGAGATTTCAACCAGACGTCAATCTAAAGGCCAAACATTTTATGTGATGTTGATTGCTCTGAAGGGGGGCCCACCTGTTCTTTCACCAAAGTTGCAGCTTCTGCTCTGCTGGGCCACCACAGCTTCCTGCTTCAACTCCAGCCTGGGGCCTCCCTGGTCGCTTCCGCTGGTCACATCTGCCCCAGGGCGGCCTTGCCCCATTGCTGCTTTGGCTGGGCCACTTCCTCTCCAGGTGCAGCTGGGGGCCTCCCTTCACGATGGCCTCCTCTCCCTTTGGGGTCTGTCCTCACAGTGGCTCTCTTGCCAGGGAGGAGCTGCCCCAGGCATCCCGTGGCCTAAAGCAGGATCACCACTGTTCCTTCTTGAGGCTCAGAAGCTCCCTTGTTCCTCCTGCGGAAGGAAGGAGAGCTGGGGGGGGAGAGAAAGGCTCTTTGCATGTGACAGCCTCCCCTTAAAATATGCCCTCCGTGACGGACAGCAACTGCTGAACTTCCAACAAAAGGCAAACGCTGCAGAGTCTCAGGGGAAGGAGCATTCAAATTGAAAACCTATGCAAACCAGGCCCTAATTTGCACACACTTTTTTGATTTGCTTTGTTATATTTTCTTGGAAGGAAGTTGGCTCCGTTCAGATGCTCCTTCTGAGCTGCAAAGGAACAGAGTAAGTTTTTTTAAAAAAGCTTAATGCCCCACTCTCCCTGCAGCCGATCTGGAAAGGTTTGCTTGTCTGGTACCAAAATGCCCCTTAATGCACCACCCTCCTTTGTGGTGCATTTGCACTAAGCCAAAGCGGTTTCCACCCACAGATTTCTGTCCACAACCAAGTGGAAAATTCCAGTTTGAATGTCCCACCATCTTTCATTCTTCCAGGGAGAAGCCCCGAGAACAGCGCTGTTCTCCCAGGCTTGGAACTGAGAGCAGCCCTTAGCCTGGACTGGGGTAGCAAGGGCTCAGGGTTGGCACGGTGGCAAAGGAGAGTCTCTGGCACTTTCTGGGAAGGGGAACCCTCACGGTTCCTGGGCAAGGCACGTGCACTCTGGCAAAGGGTGCCCAGGAATGGTGCTGCAGCTGGCACTACTTTGCTGGGGGGGGGGGCACACTTACCGCTGCTGCTCTGGTCTGCATTAGCTCCAGATTGCCCAGGTCTGCTTTAAAAAGGGAAAAGAAGAAAAAAAGCTTTATGACTTCAAATAGAAAACTCTTTTGAAAAATAGAGTTTTATTCAAATTAACTTTTGTCCAAATGCTTTTGACAAGAAAATAGGTGACTGGGTTGAGAGAGCTTATCTTAGTTGGTGCAGAAGAAACCCATTACCCATACCCATGGCTTAGGGCCGGGGTATCTATGAGACCGCCTTCTGCCGCCAATAGCCTCCCACCGGCCAGTTCGCTCACACAGAGAGGGCCTCCTCAGGGTGCTGTCGGCCAGACAATGTCGGCTGGCGACCCCCAGGGGGAGAGCCTTCTCTGTGGTGGCACCTGCCCTCTGGAACAACCTACCCCCAGAGATACGCACGATACCAGACCTCCGGACTTTTCGTCGGGCCCTGAAAACACATCTATTCCATCTAGCCGGGCTGGCTTGACCCCATCCTTACGGTTTTAAATTTATAATTGGTTTTAATTGGGTTATTTTTAAATTGACGGCCAAAAGTATTTAATGTTTTTTAAATTGTTTTTAAATTTTATATGTTGTATTTTTACCATGGCTGTTCACCGCCCTGAGTCCTGTTGCAGAAGGGCGGTATACAAATTAAATAAATAAATAAAAAATAAATAAATTACACATCTGGGGGGGCGGGAGGTCCTGGGACTCCCGGTAAGAACTTTCTCCTCCCTTTGACCCAGGGGATGAGGCGGGGGGGGGCAGCTGTCAAGGCTCAGGAGCCTCCAAAAAATGCACTTCATGGAGAGGGTCTTCAGCAGGACCAGGGAGCAAAGACACATTGGGTTCCAGCTCTTAACCTGTGGGTCTTCTGCCTGATGCCCGGGCAGCACAGCATTGCCCCCCTCTAGCCCCAGCTCCTCTTCCCCCGGGGAAGGGCCAGCAGTCCCTAAGCCCTTGAGTTGGCCCAGTGGCCATCTTGCTGGCCCGGTTGCTGCCGCTTCGCTTTGGAGTGCTATGACAAGAGACCCCTTTCGATGTGCCCATGAGCCCCTGAGCCCCCTCTAGACCACCCAACAGAGAACAGGCAGCCTCCCCTGCGATCTGACTGGCTGGCTTTGAGTTCTCAGTTCAGGGCCTCCAAGGCATTTTAGGAAAACATTCTTTTTAAAAAAGGCTGCAAATCAATGCCCTTTCCGAGACAAGCAGAGGGGTGAGGGCCTGTTCCCCAATATTACTCTGATATTGGAGCTGAGCTGGCCAAGGGCCCCCTGCACATCTGGGGCTTGAGTCGCGTGTCCTTTCTCCAGAGCCCCTAGAAAGGCTGCTTCCCGGGAGCCTGGATGGGGGCCTCACTCTGCTCCCCAGTCCCTTAACCAGGAAGAGCCAGCTGTCCTCGCTCTGCATCCCCCCTGGCAGAGCCCACCGCGGGGTCCTTCTCCCCTTCCCACTGACCTTCAGCAACTGAGCTTCACTGCTCCGTCTTCTTGGTGGGTGAACCAGTTTGACTATAGTTTGCTAAGTGGCTTTAGGCTATTTCTTCTGTTCAACTGAGAATGTCTTTCTTTCTATTTTGACTGATGCACCTCATCCAGAATCATATATTCTGAGCTGGGCAGCTTTACGCATCTCTTCAAGAAAGAAACAAATCAATAACCAGCGGCAGCAACCCTGGTGATTGTCTCCAACCTCCATCTGTGGATGCCGGGAGTGGGTGGAGGGGGGTCTAAGGGTCTCTGGGCTCCAGCAGTTATGTTGTGATGGCCTTTAGCCCCCAATCCCATGCCGGGCACCCAGGTGGGGTTTACCCAGCTATGAATCTCTCTCTGTCCAGGGCTCAGGTTGCAACCTGAGTTGTGACTCGGCGGCGATGGCAACTCTGCTCCCACTAGGAGGAAGTCTGTGGCCGGCCCTGGGCCGACTCTGCAGATGTGGCTGATGGCCCTTCCTGAGCCCTAGTCGCTCCCCTCCCCATCCTCCCCTCCCAGCAGCTGCACCCGACAGATGTCGCTCCACAAGCCCCACAGGAGCTCTTTCCCCACTTTGTGGTGGGGCACATTGTTGGGAAGCCACCGCGTTGGCTGCTGTGGGGTGGCACCTTCCTCACTGAAGAAGCACAAAAGGAGACGGCTCCACCACTAGCCTCCTCCTCCTCCTGGTCAAGGCTAAAACGAAGCTCCTCCAGAGCCCTAAACCAACGTTGACCCAGCCTGCTGCAAGGAATCAATGGAACAAAGGCTTTGTCCTCCACACTGGGGGGTGGGGTGGGGGGGTTGGGGGAGATGGGGGGGAGGGAAGCAGGCTTGTGAGTAATTAGCCAGTGATTTTGTGATCTCTTTGGAATCCTGATGCTGAGCCTTCCCTCCCTCAGAAAACACCAAGGGACAGAGAACGGCTGATCCTTTTCTTGCCCCCCTCCCCCTCCTCCCCCCCCCCCACTTGAGGAAGGCTGCCTTCTCTCCCAGGAAATGGCTGACTTGAGCAGGAGGCTTCTTCACCCTTTTCCAGCAGCCATCCCCCCCCCACCCCAAAGCAGCAGCATCAAGTCAGCCTCCAAATGACATGATTGCTGCCCCCCCCCACATTAGTATTCACCGCACATCTGACTCCAGAGAGGATTAATGGACTCTGATGCCTAATATCCTGGAGAACAATTAATTTGCCCACAGTTTTGTCATGGTTGAAAGTCAAATGCTGGAACCGATCGATGCTGGGAGAAGAGCGCTGCAGCCTTCTGTTGGAGCTGAATTTTAATTTCCCCATCATTTCCTGCCATGCCCACACCAGCCCCCATCCCACGGTGGCTCTTTTGCCTTTTTTTCTAATGGATTTAAAAGCCTCTTTTTCCTTCTCACACATGACAAGTTGGGCTAACAAAAGTCTTTACAAAAACTAAGTGGGGGACGGACCCACAGATATTAGAGTCGCGCATGTGATGAAAGTGAAGCTGGACCAGGAAGGTTCTCTCTCTGCCCAGCTGGGCTGAATCCTTTGTGCTGTGACTGATGCCCAGAGATACTTCCCCCCACCACCCCCATTCTCCTTCATGCCCCAAAGACATGCTACAGCGGGGGAGATGTGCTTGGGGCTGCCCCTTCTGTCAGGTCAGTGGGGTAGGTGGGGGATCAGGACCTCCTTCCTCCTACACACAAGAGTGGGACTCTAGCTGAGAAGCCCCCTGGGCCCAGCGGAGCCTACAGCGATGGTGGCAGCCCTGTCCCAACACACGCAAAGGAAAAGCCACATCTCTCGGGGAGGAAACCTTGGGCCGCTTTGCCCCCTGGCCACTTTCTCCTCATTCCCCCCATGGCTGGTCTGGTCTCCCACCTCCAGGCCAAATGTGAGGCTCGGACAAGCCCATCACTCGCTTGGCATTCCAAGTTCTTCCTCCTTTCTTGGGAAGCTGACTGACTCCAGCTTTGCCCCTGAAGTGGCCGGTCCCCAGAGGGACGTCTCAGAATCCAGGCCAGCATCGGGTCCTCTTTGGCTGGCCCACAAGCCCCAGGCCCAGGATCCTGGCCTTCTCGGGGCTGGGTTGTGCCTGTGCCAGAGACAGAGATGCAGCCCAGCCACACAATGGGAAGCCAAGGTTCCTCCCCCATCCTGATTTTAATTCCGGTCATGGAAGAGTTGCCTTTCCAGGTTGCAAGAAAGGAAGGCAGGCTTGGAAAAAGCTCCAGGCTCAGCACGGGGCAGCCTGTGGTGCACAAAGGCCGGTCAGTGGTCCTCAAGGGAGGAAGTTCTGAGTTCACATGTGCACAGTCCACGCGTGACCTCCTTCTGGTCTCCCTCCCCTCCCAAGGGGAATTATGCCTCCCATTGCCCTTGAATGGAAGCCTCTACTTCCTCCCACAAGCAGATGCAGAATAGGGTGCCCCTGATCTCCGGGCTTTGATTAAACGTCATAGCTGGGGAGCCCCTCCATAGATAATTCCTCCTGCCAGGAAGGGCTGCTTATTAGAGCCTCCTCCAGGATGAGGGACAGGAGGCCTGTCAGAGACACTTCAATTGCACACTCGGGTTCACACCCACCACCGCATAGGATTTGTGCATGGAGATGGGATGCCTTGAAGTGGGGGGGGGCAGGGAACAGGCCTCAGGCCAGATCCCCTTGACCTGGAGATGGAAGGGCTGGCCATAGTGTGTGTGTGTCTGTGTGTATCCGTGTGAACCAGGAGGACAAGAGGCAACATGGCAAGCAAAGGGTGCCCCCCTCCCCCTCCCGTGAAACTACAGCCTAAAATTGGAGTTGACTGGGCTCCATTATCCCATGGCTGCGCTGTTCAGTGTCCCCAGCAATCTTTTTGAGGCAAAACAAGCCTTTGGAAGCAGAGGTGACCCCAGGAGCGATAAGGGAAGAAGCTCACCTGAGAGGCTGTTATCAGCTGTTTGTGCCTGGCTGGGCCTCCAATGTCTCATTTCGATGCGAGGCGGCTGAAAATTGGATAGATACGGACTTCACCTCCAAGCAGGCTTCCCTTCCTTGTCTTCAAGGGTAACGGGATGAGGTTGTGCGAAGGGGGCTGGGGAGCCCAATTCGGCAGCCAGCACCTCTCTGTTATGGCTGGAGCCTGGCAAGGGGAAAGCAGGAGCCTGGCCTGGGCAGAGGTGGAGGGATAGCAAGGAGGATGGAGCTCCACAAGTTGGACGGAGGAGAGGGGTTGGGTCCTTCCACCCCGGTTTCAGCTTCATCCACCTGGCGGGTGGAAAAGAACTGGGTGGGGGGCGCCAAACATAACAGGGAGAAGTGACAACTGCCCTACCAAACCAATGGGACCCCATGCCCTTGTCAATTCCAGCTCCTTCAGCAGCAGCCCCTATTCTCCAGTCCCCCCTCCCAAGTGCTCTTTGCCTCTGGTCATTTGGCCCCCAACTCAGCTGACATGACGCTCTGAGGTGACCCGGGTCTTGGCCACCTGGTTTAGCTTCTCGGCAATTCTTAAATAATTCATCTTATTTCTGGGATACAAGTCCAGCAACCTTCTGTTTTCTCTCCCTTAGCTTCTCAACAGCTAATTGTATGAATTCTCCACTCTTCTGCATCTTCATCAAAGATGAAGTTTTAGCATATTTAGATTGCTAACTTTTCATTTAGTGATGAGTTCGGCCCCTTGAGCAGCAGGAAAACCTGGAGAGTTAATGGCTGAGCCACAAGAAACCCCTACCCAGTTTGACTCACAACTTGAAGTCTCATTGGCATGTCTGCCCACGTCCCCTGAAAAACCCTGTGCCAGAGCTCGTGCTGCTCGTTGCTTCGGTGGTGGGCACCGTCTCCGGCGGGGCTGAGGCTAGAACTGCTTGTGGTGGGCACCTTCTGCTCCACCCAGCCTCTGTGGCCCTGGCAGCCTCAGGAAGAAAAGGCTTCCCTCTCATTGCAGATGGTCTTTCTTTCTGCTGCAGTGCTGTAATTACAAAAGGCTGCCATAATTATTGAAACACAACTAGAAGTATTTCATTATTAAAATACCCCCCATGGCCCTTTATTAATTCATTAAATAAATTTGGTTTATAACTCTCAATAATTAATGGACTAAAGTTTACTCTGTAGATTCTTTCTTTTATTAGTAACGTGTCAGTTCTTGGTTTGAAATAGAAAAGAATAACGGGAGGCAGGAACCCAGCAGAATTTGCCCAGAAGGATCAGGAAAAGTGCCACTGAGGAAGTCGTGGCCAGGAGGCAGCCTTGAAGCAAGCAAGCTCTGCAGCCGAATCAGGAATAGAACTGGGGAATCTTTTCCAAATAATTTGCAATTTCTTATCCTCCCCACCCAACCCCGTAAAATTGGGGCAGATCATAGAGGTGGAAGAGTCAGCAATCGCTCTCATTTGCTTCTCCCCCAGAATTCCTGGATTGGAGGCCCCTGAGGTCTTTGCAGCTCTTTTTTGAAATGTGCCCCAAACTATCATCCTAAAGAACCACGACCAGCACTCCCGACCACACTGGAGGTGTGATGGGATCATGCAGAGAGGGACCTTTTGGGAAGGTGTCTGGTTCTTAATCTGGTGCTCTGAACTGACTCTGGAGCCATGTGGGCATTGCAAGTTCCCTCCCAATGTTTGGCAGCCAAGTGGAGGGTGTGCCCTGAGGTCTCCTCTGCCAAGCCCCACCTGCCTCGTTGCAGGCCGCCTTTCCTGTGAGGCTCTGCTCACATCAGCACAGAAACTGGGGAAAGGATCACAACACGGTGAGGTGGCACCTCTAAGGAGTCCCACAAAGGCTAATGAACATCCCCCAAGATTAAAACCAGGCAGTTTTTAATTGCCTGCTTATTGCAGCCAAAGCCAAAAAAATTCAGGAAAGCCCCTTCTGACTGGAAATGCTCCTTTGCCCTGCTTGTCAGCCACAGAAGCAGCTCTGGCAACTGGAGGCCACACCTGGAACCACGGCTGTCCATGCCACAGGCCGGCTAGAAACATCCCACTGCCACCCTTGAGGGTTAAACTGAGGAGGCCTTAACCTCCCTTCCTCCTTGGTGGGGCACAGCAAAGAGGGCTACTCCCTGCTTGGAAAAGTGGGATGCTTTCCTGCACCCCAGGACTTTGCTTCTTTACCCCAGCAAGTTCCAGGCAGAGGATTCCCATTTCCCAGCAGGTCGAGTCTAGGCCCGCCTGGCCCCAGGTTCAGTGGCCACTATGGGAGGTGGGTCACAGGTCTTCCTTCGGAGACTGGAGCTCCGTCCGGCAAATGAGTTTCTTAAGGTGGAATCTTGACGGACAGCAGGAGGAGGACTGGGAGGGATGGTGACCTCTGGTCCTGCAGGACGAGGGGCAGGGCTGGTGCAGGAGGATGCCCTCAACTGCCTGGTCTTCCGCATCACCATCGTGCCAGATGCTGACCCAGAGCAAAAGCTCCCCATCTCATCTCTGGGGCTGGAAGAGGCTGAGCCTCCTGTCACTGTGAAGGCAAACAGAGAGAGTTGAAAAGGTCACCAGGACCTAATGGATTGTCCTGGCGTTGCTCTCCCAGAGATTTGACCAAATAAGACAAGATTCAGAGCAGCTCCCCTCCATAAAGAGGGAGAGAAAAGAGCCTCTCCTCCCACCTGCCTCTGCTCGGCCAGAGGAGAGACCTCCCAGCCTCCAGTAGCCCCCACGGCAGCCCCTGCAGGTGGGTCTTCCTCAAAGGAGCCTTCCCTCCAGGCTGAGGGGGAGCCTGATTTTGCAGCCAGGGCCTCAGGAGGGGGGAGGCCTTGGGGTGGGCCGCAGGACCCTTTCAAGCTTCTGAGAGCGCTTTTCTTCTTGCCTGGCAGAGGGGGTGTCTCAGGACAACCTCAAACCCCTCTGTGAACATTCGGTTCGTCCACAAGGTCCAAGCCAGGCAAAGGGCTGCCCCTTCCTTCTCTGCCGTGTGATTCTTCCTCCTGCCCCTTCCCCCCTTCCTCTGGCCAATTTGAGTGGAGGGGTGAAGGAGACCCAAGAGGGGCCATCTTTCTGGCCAGTGGCTACCGGAAGATGCAAGCCCCCCGGCCGGCAGTGTTGCTCCTGGGCTAAATCAGGGGTGGGCCTGTGAATCAGCCCATGCATGAATGCACAGCACAAGTATGTTCATGAAAACTCCCTGGAAAGGCCACAGTTAATTGCTTGCAAAATGACACGGGCTGCCCCTAGGAAGCTTCATTTCAACTCTTCAGGAACAAAATCCCCCCCTCCCTTGGTTGGTTCTGTTTGGCCTCAGCAAGGCCGTTCCCTAAGAGGAAGGCCCCCACACACGTAGAGGTTGCCTGGCAGGCTGGGGGGGGGGCGTGGTCTCCCGGCTCAGTCTGTCTGTCTTGGAACTCCTCTGCCCTTTGCTGAACTTGGCATTAGATCTGTCCTTGTGCTCCTCCCAGGAGGTGGGACAGCCTTGCCCTCTCAGACTGTGTCACTTCTGCTTGAGCGAGTTGGGGCTTTCCTGCGCACGAGATGCAGCCAAGCACTTGGGCTGGATCTGGGCTGTAGAAACTCTGTTTTTAGGTCCCTGGAGGCCCCTCAGGGGGTTCCCTTGCTTGCCTGCTGATACTCCTTTCAATTAACAGAGGTCTTCCTGCTCCAGCTCAACACTTGTGGAGCAACCTGGGAGAGAAGACCCTCTCCTGGCATGAGAAGAACGACCCTCTCCATGTCCCGATCAAGGTGGCCGGCCAATGGCCTCTTTCCAAAGGGGTCTCCTGGGACTCTGCCACCACGAAGTGCCAGTGGTTGGGTAGGGTTTTCCCCTTGGTCATTATTAACAGATGGAGAAGCTTCAGAACAAGTTTACAAGAAGCAAGTGGCAAAGCAAGGCAGCCGCCGGTGTTTAATGGACTGTGTTTGAAATATTGGAGTCTATGATAAGCCATTATGTAAATTACATTCATTGATGGCTCTGCTGTGAAATCGCTCTGCTAGGGGAAGAGCAGATAAACAGGGGGCTCTTTGGAGATGTCGCTTACTCATCCTCAAAATTGGGCAATGGGGGGGAGACACTTCTTCACGCCTATCCCTCACCTGAGCCAAGGAGCCACGATGGTGGCCGGTCACTCCTGGAGACGGACAGACTGTGGGACAGCCAAGCATCTGGGTCTCTTCAGAGCAGCTGCCCCTCCCTCAATCCATGGTGAAGTCTGTCGGGGGGCAAGCGATCCCCAATGTTGAGGCCGTTTGACTGCTCCAAGGGACAAGGGGCTCTCTTGGGGCTACCAAGCAGGAGAGCCCCAGCAACTGGGCAGGTCCCTGACAGGCCTCAGATGGGGTGGGGGAACCCTGCCCTCCTCCCTAGCGGCACATGCAGATCCAGATACGGGCCAGCAGAAAGCTTTGCAGCCAGGCCAATGGTTAGAAAAGGGAGGGCCAGAAAGTTTCTAGTTTCTAGAGTCTCGGCCAAGCAAGCTCCTTGAGAAAAAGGCCTCCCCTCCTCCGTGGAATGTCACGTCTCCCCCCTCCCAGGGCCCCAATAATAACTCTTGGAATTAAACCTGGTCAGGACCCCTCGGGCCTGTTTGCCTTGGCTTGTTTCTGCCAGACGTGGGAGTTATAAATAAACATTTTGCAAGGCTTGGAAATTCCTACTCCCTTGGCTGGTTCCCCCCAATTCCCAAACACTGCGCCCCTCCAGCTTATGAGACATAAACCACAGGCAGGACATGACTGCATGTGTGCGCACAACTCCTGCTCCAGAAATAGCGGATCTCTTCCCCGTCTGGCGGCTGTGCTGCTTTTCCTCCAGGTCCTCCGAGGCTTCTCTGCCTGTCCTTGGCAGCCGAGGTGCTCCGAAGAGTCCCCTGACCCTTTTCTGCACCTGCTAAGTGCTGGGCAGGGAGGTGTCAGCAGATATTGCTGGGGGGGGAGGGGCAGGGAGGCCTGGGATTGAGGCTCAGACCTGGAAGGTTTAAAGGAGGAGGAGGACAACTGCCCCCCCCACCCCCCGGCCTTTGTAAAAGGGTTCCTGGTCCTTCTCACGAAAGGGAGTCCCGCTGCTGGAGATTCAGGGGTCCTGGCCTGGCACTTGACTCCTGGGGTCACATCAGTCAGTCAGGCTCTCTTTCCTGTCCAGACCCAAAATGGCAAGAATGACCCTGCTGGCCTGGTTTAGCTGATAATGGGGGTGGGGGGGCATGAGAGACTTGCAGCAAGGGGGTGTTCTTTGTAAGCTCCCCAAGTGGCAGAGCTCATCCCTTGCTGGTCGCCATGGGAGTTTCCCACTGCTGGATCCATGGGTGTGCCCTCCCGAGAAATATTTTATTCATGGCTGCTTAGTTAGAGGAGTTTTTCCAGGGTTCCCAACTGAGAATGACCCAAAGTCCCTCAAGAGATGGAGTCGGTCCCAGAGAGCCAGACTGAGTTTGGCTTCTCAAAGCACGAGCGGTGCCAGCAGGGAACCCATTCCCACGCAAAGGAGGCAGGTGCCAGGCAAGGGCAGGGGCTCGGGTGGGAGTGGGCAGGGAAGGTCAAGGCTCCAAGTGGAAGCTTCGCCCCCCAAGGAGCTGCTGATCTTCTCTGTGCCTCTTCCTGCGGGTGGGGGGAGCATCTGCTAGAGGGCAATTATTAGAGGAGAGATCCTTTTATCTCAAAGACAGCATTTTGCTAATCTGATTACTTGTTAATTGCTCTAATTAAATCTGAACATATGGAGTTTTCTGAAAGGAGAACCTGAAATAGATTTTAGTCAGTAGATTCCTGTTGGCTTGCTGGAGAAGGAGACGGGGGGGGGGAGCCTTTCCTCTTTTTCTTTGGCAGACATTCCTTGGGAGTGCTGGGGCCCCAATCCTGTAGCCTGCCCTGCTCTCCAGTTTGGAAGGCCCCTGGTGAAGCCCGGCTCCCCCACCCCGAACCTGGAGTTCCAGGATTGGAGAACTGGGATCTTCCTACAATTCCCCACCTGCCCTTCTTTTTCCAAGTGGGCGACACAAATGAATGGCCCCAAGATCCAGAGGCAAGTGGCTTGGGAGAGAAGCCCCAAGAGGTGCCCACCTCTGCTTGCAGGAAGTTGTGCAGGGAAGGAATGGGGGAAGGGGAGGCTGGCAGGAGGATGGATGTAGCAACGCTCTGATCAGTGGGAGAAGACCCCAGGGCTGAGGCAAAGCAGAGGCTCCCGCTCCCCGTTATATTGTTCTTATTTCCTGCCACCCTTTCTTTCTCTCTTGAGGCCTGTTAAACATTTGATACAATCTGGCCTGAGTGGGTGGGTGCCAAATCTTTTCAGGGATGGCTGCGCTGGTGCCTCCTCCCACCCCCTCCCCATGCTGCAGCATTGCTCATTCCCTCCACTCCAACAGGCCCACTTAGTTCAGTGCTCAGCTAGAAGCCATTTTGACTCTGCCTGGGCTCTTCTGCAGAGAAGGCATGAATGGGACGGGGTTGGAGCTGCTCTCAAGACAGGCAGTGGAGGGAGGGAGGGGCTACGGACACCGTCCAGGGTCTGTCCAGCCGCCACCAGCATGGCAGCCCTGGATTTCCGTAGGTGCCGGCCAGCTTCTTTCCTGTTTGCCTGCAGTCTCCAAGTCGCCTAGCAGAAGCAGAGGTAATTGTGAACAGATGCCCCCTCCTTCCGGTCTCCCACATCTGGCTCCCACAACCTCCCCCCACCAGAGCTTCCATACTGTGGGATGCAGCTGCCCTTCCCTGGTGCCAGCAGGCTTCTCAGGGACCTCCATGGTCCTCCCCCTCCTGCCCCCCCCGCATTGTCCCCACTTGGCTTGGGAGGGGGGAGGGAAGAGAAGACACCCACACCCTGCAGCTGCATGCAAGGAGTCTCCTGGAAGTTGAAGGAACCAGACTTGAGGGCTCCGTGCAACAGCCGGAGGCCTGAAGGATCTCAGCAGCCCAGAAAGGAAGATCTGAGCTCCTCCACTGTGGGAAGGAGGCAAGTGAGGCTGCGACCCCCCAGCACAAAGACCCCCCTGTGGCCACTCAGGACAAGAGTCAGTTGGAACATCAAAGCACTGGAATGGAAGAGCTGTTTTTTCTTGCTGGGAATAATTCCCAAAGCTTATTTTTGACCGTGTTGTGCTGCAGCTCATGAAAATAGACAGAAAAGGTTTCTGTTTCCTTTTCTTTCTGACTCGGTCATAAACCCGGCCGAGCAGGAGTGCGCAAGGTCTCCTGGCTGGCTTTGATGGACCAAAACCGGGTTTCTCCACTCCCAGCCTAGCACCTTCCCTCCGGGCCAGGGTGGCCCTCAGAAAATGACCTGCAACAGCCTCCATCAGGCTCCTGGGTGCTGACTGGGTTCAGTCTGAGTCTGGCCACCTGCTTGGGGCTGGCACTGGAGAAGCCTGGAGAGCCTCTTCCGTGTCCCAGATATGGTTCCTGGATCAGAAGGGCAGGTGGGGAGCCTTGGCTGGAAGGTGCCTTGTGTGGCTTCACTCTTGGCCACCACTGGTCCCCACTGGCTTATTCCCCTGCCATTCCAGGTGCTGGAGAGCCACTGAAGAGGCT